TTTATGACAGCTAGGCTGTCATCAAAAATTCAGCGATGACGTTAGTTGGCTGTCATCAGTCACAAATTCATCAATGACAGTAGTCATCAACAATTCATCGATTACATCCTAGCAGCGTCTTCAGTCAAAAATTCACCTTATACTTAGGCTGCCAATAATTAATGTTTACTTTGTTGTCTAAAATAAAAGTAAAGCTTTTTATATATTTATAAAAATAGTTACAATTTTATTAAGGTTATTATATACAAGGTAAATATTTTGCTGATATTAAAAAAGGTTTTAGAAACAAACAAAAGTTAATATCCTAAAGTTACTCCATTTTCCAGGGATTCATTCCCGTTTATGGATCCCCGAAATATTTAGGGCTTTTCTGAAAAGGCCTAGATTGCCAGCTATGAGTGGTCGATGCAGTGGCACTTGTCTGGCCATTCATTAAGCCTGGACAACATGGCGTATCAAACGCATAAAACTAAATATTGCCGGGCCTTTCATCTCTCCAAATGTCAACAAGGTCGCCCCGAAACGAGCAAATGGGATCAGGGTTCAGGAATCCGGATGGGGCCACATATCGGCGCACCGCAATCCCATACGAAAACACCGAATCTCGGTCCGTCAGTGCTTAATTAAATCTCTTCGGACAAGTTTATTTTACTTTCTCCCTTCCCGGGCGGGCTGTCAAATTAGGGCCAATTCCCCCAAAAAGGCGGCGGCAGTTGCACCAAACTTTGTGGTTTCGCCCAGGCTGAAACTAATTTCAGCAACTAGATGATGTCAAGTCATTAAGTTATATTTGGTCAGATGGGGAAAGTGGCAAAGGCTCCAGAAATAGTTCCGTTGAGTTGGAAATGATAGTGGCCGTAATGCCCGCCGAGGGTCAAAGTCAAAGGAGCAAAGTTCACTGAGCCCGTTAGCAGGACTTGTTGCATACTTTCGTGGCCTGCCTGTTAAAATGATAAAACGGAATTGCTCGTAAAAGGGGCGAAAGGCATGGAGAATTACAAGGATTCTTGAAAATAAAGTTAGCTAATTGGACTTCATGCGAAGCTTACTGTAAATTTAATATTAGAACTTTTAACTACGTTTGGCAAGGGGTGAACCTATTAAAGTTAAACTGGAATTATAATTAAGGAGTGACTCATGGCACCCAGTTGGCTCATATATGCCGTTTAAGCTGTGACAGGCAAGCATTTAATTAAATTTAATGGGCAACCTCATTTATTATAAACGTAATAAACGGGGTTCCTAAATATATTACGTTTGTCAGGGGAATATATTAAAGTAGAACTGCATGTGTAATAAAGGTCTCTAATTAAATTTGATCAAATACGTATTTTATTAAAAACCTAACAATTTAAATCTTAAACTTGGACGGAATATACCGTGTTTTTTTCGAATTCCAGCTTCGTGGGTATTATTTAATAAGAACATAAATATGTTGCCCTGGGGTTTTTAACACACTCTACTACAGAAATGTAAATTGCTTTAGTTGCTTAAAGTTAAGCTGCATTAACAAGGGGATTTGATCCAATCCCTCCGCCCATTTATCCTGCAAGTCTGACGTCAATGATGAGCAAACTTATTTGCCCACTGGCAATATCTGAGTTTTTCATTTGACTTTAACGCCCGCAAACCAGATAAATGGCAAATAGTCCTGCAGCCTTGGCATTCCCAGTGGCAGGAGTGTTTTAATTTGTCAGCCCCTGTTTCGGAACTTGTCGCCAATCCTCGGCAATCCTTCGAAATCTCACCTGCCAGGTGGGAGGACCAGCTGAGTGCCTGCCTACAGCTGATTAAGCTCATTTATCAAAAGTGAAGCCAGCCAGCTGGAGGGTGCTCCAAGTGCTTCAGTCGGCTTAAGGTTCACGCAATTAAATGGCGCCCAAACGGGAGACCAAGTAATCGCCTACGGCATTCGCCAAGTTGAAGTCAATATTGATATTCTTGTTGGGAATCCGAAATTCGCCTACAAATTCCCAAAGAATAGCGAACGGGGGAACAACGCCGGATTGCTGGCCAAGGAATTTTGGTATTCGAAAAGTTTCCAGGCGCACATCAATTTGGCAAGACAAACATATAATCGTTAAAGTTTTAATTGTACTGTGTAAATGATTTCGCGCTGCCATCTAATTTTAGATTGAACAAAGTTTAGATATATATTAACAAAGTTTGTGCTGCTCAAGAGGGAAGAATTTAATTCGATCTGATAAGATTTTCACAAATCTAATAAAATTATAAGTTAAGGGAAATTAGGTGTGAGGTTATCTTTAAGGATTAATAGATATTTTTCCTTCCTAGGGGTAAGAATAATCAATTAACGTGTTTCTTCTAGATGAAAAAGCATTATAAACTATTCAAATCCTTGCAAAGGTACGCACTTATATGTAAAATAAAGTATATGTAAATTCTTGAAGCCTTTTCCCGGCAGACTTAACTCACCCGAGGGGAAAGAGATTTTCAACTTTTATCTGCATAGCTACTGCGCCTGTCTCAGGGAATTCTGTTCTGACATTTGTCAAATAGTTGGCAACTTTCTTCCATTCACCCACTCCCATAACTTGACAAAAAAAGGCGACACCCTTTCTTGTAGTCCTGCCATCGCCAGACATCTCGAAACTATTGACGTGTTTCACTTTTTATGGCATGCGCCTCCTGGGACGCCAGTTGTAGCCTCTTCCTCAACATTTCTGCCCTTGGCTTATTACATCGCAAAGTTGATTTCATGGCATTTTTGTGGCGAAGCCTCTGTGTTGACAGAGGGCAAAAGAATTGGGCTCGAAGGAGCTCAGACAACTTGACACGACACCAGTGATGAGCTATATTTAAGGGAAAAAGACAGAAAGTCCCATAACCAAAAATTCGTTTTTAAAAAAAGTATCCAAGACAAAAGTTAAAAATAAAAAGAAATATATATATTTTTTTGCATTATTATTAATTTTATTTTTAGAGCTATCATATGATTGAAACTACAAGCTAACATAGGGCTTTATTATAGATCTAAAGTAGCAGCAGGCCTGAAGAGCGCCTAAGAAAGATATAACCTTTTAAAAATGTCAACTTTAAAAAAAAAAAACCTTTAAAAAAAGTATCCAGTCAATTGGGGAATTGTGTATTTTAATCCTATTAGTTAACACGAAACAACATCCAGAAAAAAAACCTATTTGCACAAGCCATTAAAATTCAATCGAGAAGAAACAAATTTATTTATTGCCCATTTTCTGTTTTCTGTTTTTCTTTTTAATTTAATTTTTTGTGAAATCTTTTCTGGTTTTTGTTAAACTGGCCACTGGCAGCACTGACTGACACCGGCTGAATGATTGAGTCCGGCATTTGTGAAACAAATTGCTGGGGATTTCCCCCAAATCCTTCTTTGGCCAACGCATTTCGGCCAGGACATGCTGAACAAATGAACAATTTCGTGAATTAATTTGATGTCTCGGCTGATTCGCTTCTCGTTATTCAGAGAGGCAAAGATACATCTGTCTGCGACCCGACCACAAAAAACTTTGCATAATGGAGCACAGTAAATGGCCTTGAGTTCTCCTGAAAAGAAATGTACGACATTCCGCAGATGTCACATGTGCAGGACAAAGGCTCGAAACAAAGGATACATTGCAGCCGAATGATTAATTTCCACTCATGTAGCATGTGGCTTTGATGATGATAACGACTGCGATGATGTCAAGTTTATCATTGACCAAGGTTTATCGGGCCAAATTGGGCCATCTATCTTGATGACTTTGAATAATAGGGCTATATTAAAGGCAAGGTGTTGGCTTTACAAATTGGTAAACATTAGACGGACTTTATAGAAATATATTTAATTTTTAGAAAACAGAGAGATTGTTTTTATTTAGTCTTTAAGATGAGTCCTTTGTAATACACCTTTTAATATTGTGTCACACTTCGCTGACAAACTGTTTCTGTTAAAAAAGGCATGTACTGTTGATTTAAAGCTTAAACTAACTCTTGCATTTTATATTTTTGACCTTATGTAACCTTCAATAAGAATACTATGCATATTTTGGACTCACAGGGTCCCACATATATATACAATGTACACACACCCACAACTGGCTGAAAAACAATGCCCTTGGATTGCATTTTAATGTGCAACTTGTGGTTGAGTAAATAACCAGCTCTCTTGTCATGGAAAATCCCCCTCTTGGGGCCATTATCCTGCTGGACCTGCTGGTGGCAAACTATTTTTAAAGAGTTAAAAGCTTTTCAACGAAAATAGAATTTATGATATTAGCATAAGTTGAACCCAAACAAAATCTACAATTTTGAGTGGCCCATGGAGGGGATATGGATGGATTCAGATTCATTGAAGTGGACAAACGGAGGCAAATCCAAATATACCTTTGCAGGGGGACAAGGAAACGTTGAAATACCGAAAAATATGGCTGGGCCTGGAAATTATTTATTTTACTTTCATTTCTGCCGCGGGTCCTATCCGTTTCCGTTTTCGTTTCCCTTTGTCCGACTGTCTGTGTAAACGGCTAGAAGGGCTTAGATAAAACACGAAATGGCCACAAAAAGGAACTTGTCGCTAAGAGCATCTACACCCAAACACATATCTGCAAATATATGCAAACAACCTATGGGATTCAAGTTCGATAACCTGAATCTAGGCACAAAGTGTGGGCCTAAAGGCTTGCCATTGTTGTCTAACAAATTTGCACGCGTCAGCAAATAAAAACACATGTAAGTAATAAAACATACATATATGAATAAATCATGGCACTATTAAGATATGGTAAGTAAGATGAGAGAAATTTTTAAATAAATATTTGAAAAATAAAGAGTTTAATAATACTTACAAGCTTAAATCAGCAAACTTAAGCCAATGTAGTACGTTTTAAAGCTAATGTTAGCTTTATTTTGAGACAATTTAAATTTATTATAATAATTGTATTAAAATAACAAAGAAATCAAGTTTAAACTTTATGTTATAAAATAAAAGAATGTTCATATAATACAACATTTAATTAAGTTATCACTAGATTTTAAATTTCACAAATACATTTTAAATTTTCTCAACCAGATGCTGGCTGAATCGCACAATCGTGGAGAGCACATCGATCATATAGACGAAGAGCATGGCCAGGATCGAGGCTTGCAGGACATTATCCTGTCTATCCACATACTCGTACCGCCGCTGGTGGACCACCGTGACGGTGAAGAGGATGAGGGTGGCCGCGTACAGAAGACTGACCATCGACGCATAACGCAATATATAGCGATTACCATTTAGATACACGATGATGTATATCGAAACGGTAATCACTAGACAGCATAATGTGACAATGATCATAAAGACGTGGCCGGGCAACAGTTTCAGCGGCAGATAGATGCCCATCATGTAGAGCAGGATGTTCAGGACCAGGACGATGACCAGGATACCACCCATCCAGGGTAGCGAGACGCGGGGCCACTGTTCGCAGTTGACGAAGATCACCACCATCTCCACGATCACAATGGCCAGCAGACAGTTGCAGGGACAATGGTTGGCCAAGTAGACGAAGGCCAGGATTAGGACACATCCCACGGCCAGGAGCAGCCACACGAAGCTGGGCACCGTGGGGCTTAACAGCAGACCAAAGTTCTGTTTCATGACCCTTAAGGTCACCAGCTGGATGACCGCAAAGGTCGTGAGAGCCGCATGGAGCACGTAGACCCAGATGAGGTGATTCTTCTTCAGGCTCATGTTCGAGCGCTGGCTCCTGGAAGCCAATGAGACTGCCTGGCTCAATACCGAAGTTTCGCTTTGTGGCTGAGTTGGTTTCGAAGGCGGAGGAGCCTGTTTCGGAGGAGGAGGAGGCACAGGAGCTGTCTTTGGAGGTGGTGCTGGTGCTGGGGGTGGTGGCTTCGGCGGCGGCGGAGGAAGAGTCGTCCTTTGACCACTCGGTTTGCGCTGACCCGTCGAGGGACGGGGTGGAGGATTTCGATTACTCATCTTCCTCTGCGGTAATGTTACCACCCCCTTTCTAAGAACCCGCTGTGTGTTATAATCATGTATATTAGAAGTGTGTGTTTTTGACTACTAAGTCGGTGTGTATACTGTGAGGGATATGACTTTTGGAAAAAAACGTACTTTGTATTTTAGTTGAACTTCCATAAATCTAATCTACACTTGCTAAGTATAAAATTAATCTTACAGAAGCTTTGAGGTACAGAACAAATATTGTTTTTTTTGTGGAAATGTAATTAAAATTCAGAAGAATTTTAGAAACGCAACAATTTATAATATTGAACATAAATTCCTCGAATTGTTTTAGTGTGCAAACAAAATTTTTCTCTGGAAAAATTCACCAGAAGTAGCAGTGTGGAACAAACATTTGAATTACAGGAAAATTCGAGTTATGCTGCATTTGTTTAGGCCCAATTTTGCTTAATTTTGATATGTACATTTTACTATAACTCCTTTAAATTACCATGGTTTTATACTAATTTATAAACGAGCCTAAAAGTATGCAGTGAAAAGGGGAAAGTCGTGTTTCGAGAACAAATCCGTCGGTCTTTCGCCTATATTGCTGCCTACTTTTAGACACCTTTTAAATGGGATTTTGAAACGCCAGTGGTTTTTCTGTTTATCTGCATAGGTGAAAATGAGGTGCACTCTTCATAATCGCCGAGTGGAAAAACCACTTCGCAGATTTTGCACTGCTGCCCGGAAAAATCCTCCCCCCATGTGACTCATGCATATTAAATGGGAATTAGAATTGCGCTGGCCAGCACTCGAGTGCTAATCAATGACACGTGCTCTGCTGTCAACGGGCTCATTAAGATGGCCCACCTTGCACCTGATGATGTGTTTACATATGTATTTAGCTCAGTTACTTTGTGTGCCCTGTGGACCAACTTTTTGGGCCACTTTGTGGCCGAGGCTTTTACTGAATTTTAATTAAACCTCGCCGCTGAAAAGCCACCACGTGTAGAAACATTTGCAAACACGGCCAAAAGTCGGGAATTAAATAAACATGAGTCGGCCAAAAATCTTCAGGATTCGCCTGGGGCAGACTGCACAAGGTATATATATGTATATAAATCTCCTTTAGAATATGTTATTGTGTCAGAGATTACCTTGCTATGTTCGAATTCTATTTAATCCCCAGCAATCGATTACAATATATATCCAATACCTCCGTTACACAATCGCCAGCTTCAGGAAGTATGGCCATATTTGATATTATTTCCCCCCGGATTACTGTCGTAATAAGCTTTGACGTTGAAAGCCATACAAATGCCTATCATTCAATGGACTGCCACTCACAACAATAATAAGTTTTAAGAGATTTAAATGGACAGTGGCAATAGCCACAAAAACCACAGCACGAACAGAATAACAAATTCGAATGGGAAGTGGTCCTCAAGGAAGTCATGGCAAATATGTACAATTAGAGTGACAATAGGATTTTATTGCCACTCGAATGAGTTTAACTTGGCTGTGAATTGAACAACAGATAACATGTAAAATATCCTTTGGATAGTTCTAATAATATTGCTTGAGTACTTGACTGTAAAATAAATAAAATTATTTTTTGGTTAATTTAAAAGGAAAGTACATTTAATAGAATTAAGTCTAGAATTTTTTTCCATTTAAATATTTTGCTGAATGCATTTGGTAACAAATTAAGGAGTATTAATTCAAAAGAACCTTTTTCTTCGCCAATAAAGCCTTCAACCGAATTTTGCTCAAGATGTAATTAAATTTTAATGTCTTCCATTAGATAATTTTGGCTGGTCGAAATGTCGATAATTATTAAACCAATTAAAACGTCTAGCTTGCATTGCCATGGCAAAGACTTGAAATTTTTAAGAGCTGTCAACAATATTTGGCGGAATGATTGAGTGCTTTTGGCCATACTTAAAACATCTTAGCATTGAAGAAAAATAACCTTGTCAGTAAATTGATTCCTTGAACTTTTCGAGAGCTACTTTTAATTATAACTAAGCTTCCACCTTTTTAGCCTGAAAGGTGAAAGTGTTCCACATGCCACAGAATTATCCTACCCTTTATACCATAGGCGTGAACTTATGTCAACCCCCTTGATCAACCTTGAGGGTTAATAATAGGGTTCCCGTATCAATTATGCATGTGGAAGTCATTTTTAAGGACATGCGAACTCGGCAGGTGTGTCTTAATGACTACCTACACTTGGGAAAAATTAATGGGGTAATTAGTAATTACTTATGGGGCTATTTCTGGATCTAGAAAGTACTGAATTTGTATTTATAATTGTTGGTTGAAATGCGTATTGCCCCAAAAAAAGTTAAATTTAAAACTCCTTTCAATGGTTTTTTGTGTGCGAAGGCAAGACATTAAAAATGCCTTTGCCGCACGTACCCATATCAAAATCATGCCGCGACTTTCCGACCGTGCGACATGCAATTGAACAAATAAATCAGCGGGCTAATAAATTTTTAGCAACGCCGGTGGGAGCTGCCCCCAAAATCGAGGTTGAAATCCGGGCCTCGATAAATGCTGCCATAAATGCTGGCAACTGCTGGATTCGGTTTCCAGTATGCCGTCTGAGCCATTAAGGAAGCCCAGTGAACGGAGCGAAGGACAAAGCCAGATTTCAGGCGACAAGGCAGGGAGTTACACTTGGCTGAGTTACTGTAGCTGTTGCTCTTGCCGCTTTCCCAGCTTTTCCTGCTTTTCCTCTGCTTTTCCTCTGCTTTTCCTTTGCCTTGCCTTGAATGCTATAACGCCTGCCGTACCACACTGCGTATACGTGTTGTACCGCACCATGGGTTTCCCATCCCCCCCAAAAAAACCGAACAATATGATTAAAGGCCATTTTTAGCACCTGTTCTGCCTGTTTATTATACCCGTTACTCGTAGAGTAAAAGGGTATACTAGATTCGTCGGAAAGTATGTAACAGGCAGAAGGAAGCGTTTCCGACCCCATAAAGTATATATATTCTTGATCAGGATCACTAGCCGAGTCGATCTAGCCATGTCCGTCTGTCCGTCTGTCCGTCTGTCCGTCTGTCCGTCTGTCCGTCTGTCCGTCTGTCCGTCTGTCCGTCTGTCCGTCTGTCCGTATGAACGCTGAGATCTCGGAAACTATGAGAGTTACAATACTGGGATTAGGCACGCAGATTCCTGAGATTCCTGCGCAGCGCAAGTTTGTTTCAGTAGAGTGCCACGCCCACTCTAACGCCCACAAACCGCCCAAAACTGTGGCTCCTACAGTTTTGATGCTAGAATAAAAATTTTAATTGAAATGTATTGTTCTCATCAATACCTATCGATTGACCTAAAAAAATGTTTGCCACGCCCACTCTAACGCCCATAAACCGCCCACAAACTTCAAAAAATCGTAAGTATGAACGCAGATATCTCGGAAACTATCAAAGATAGAGAATTGGGATTTCAGATTTAGATTCCGTAGCCTTGTAAGCAGCGCAAGTTTACTACGCGAATATGCCACGCCCACCCTAACGCCCACAAATCGCGAAAAACTGTGGCGCCCACAGTTTTGATGCTAGACATACAAATTTAACTGAAATGTATTGTTCTCATCAATACCTATCGATTGACTTAAAAAAAAGTTTGCCACGCCCATTTAAACGCCCACAAACCGCGAAAACCTGTGACGCCCACAATTTGCATGCTAGATAAAAAATTTTAACTGAAATGTATTGGTGTCGTCAATACCTATCGATTGATCCAAAAATAAATTTGCCACGCCCACTCTAACGCCCATAACGCTTAAATCTGTCTACCGCCGGTAGGTGGCGCATTTTAATTTCGCTTTGCTGCTTGCATATCTCCATTTCCCTTTGAGTAACGGGTATCTGATAGTCGAGGTACTCGACTATAGCGTTCTTCCTTGTTTTCGTATCGAATCGCGTATTAATTGCATTTTATTTTTTATGCCAACACTCGAGCCTCGCATGCAATTAAATTATTTATGCATGAGGGCGTAAGCTATTTGAATGCTTATTTACATGTAACCGAGCGTGTGTACTTTGAACACATTTAACAGGGAACGAATGTCACTCGCAGGAGCCATCCACTTATTTCAGCTATCCGACTGGGAAATTGTAGCCAATAAAAGTGGGATAAATATTTGCAGGAATTCTTTACAAGTTCCATAAAATAACTATCCAAAAGAATGCAATAGTGCATTTCTCACTACAATGCATTGCAATGCTGGTCATGTAAATAAATGAATATAAATTCAAAGGGGACCAAGTAGTCGTTTCATTGCCTTAACACTTTCTGATTGTTTTTAATTTGATTGGTAAGGCGAAAATCAATAATTACTTCTGATAATGTTCGAGTTAATTCGGCCAGTGTCAGAGATGCAAAAGACTTGTATTTAAGCTGCTGAAAACCTGGCAAGTAATTAAAAGGATGTCCATTTTTTATTTTACCCGTAATATCTTAAAGACCTTGGCAACATGTTGAAATATAATGTTATTTTGCTGGAAAGGCATGGTTTTAAATACTATTAATATTATATGATATCATTTTATATTAATATACATTTAATTTAAATTGACTCTGCCATAAGGAACTCTTTGTTATTAGCATTCACTTTGGATTTTCCTTTCCCTTCTTCAGGTATTCTTTAATTATGTCCCACATTTTTCCCATTTGATCCCTTCTTTGTCCTTTTCACACAACGAGAAGCAAAAAAGAATTGTCCTTGTGCTTTTCCAAGAAATTTCAAGGCTGCCCTGCATGCAAAACAAATCCCTAAGAATGAGAATAAAATACTAGTACTAAAAACTGTGAGACCGCAGGGTACAGAGAACTAGAAAAAAAATTAAAACCTTAGATTATGATTCGAGAAAGAGGTTGGTCCAGCAATGTTTATGCGATTTCAAGCGTTATGTGCCCAGCGGAGTTGTAAAAAGACCGCTTGTTGACTACATGTCAAAGTAAACAATGCCGCCAGGAACTGACATCAGTTTGCCATTCTTTTTCCGGTTCGCCCACCCTTTTATCTCCGCTTTTCAACGAGTTAAGTGCATTTAATTGAAAGAACTACAAATTAGTTTCTGAGCTATTTTGTAGTTGGTCTGAAAATGTCATTTGACTGTGACAGAATAATAGTTTTAAGGGGGCGTATACTTGATTTTATTCTGCTACAAAAAAGAGCTCCTAGTAACTATTAATAAAATACACATTCTCTCCTCCGGGCAGAAAGTTGAGTCAAAGGATTACTCTATAAATATAAATATGGAAACGTAAATTTTTCTGGAAAAAGTATTTAAATTGACAAAACATCAGACAACTTTTCATAATCTTGGTCCAGACTTCTTGGAATCATTTCTAGTAAAAGGTAAAATTGACATCAATGATTATAATTTTACCCATACCTTGTTCAAAAAATATAAATCTCTGCTTATTTGTCTAGTAATATAACAAGTCACTTCAAAGGTCAGCTATTAACTGTTCCCTTGGTAAATAAAACAAATGAATAGGTATAGAAATTATTAGAACAATAGCAATTATATAAATTTGTATTGGGTACCATAACAATAAGAACAATGACGTCGATTGAAAATAAAACAAAAACACCCACATGCTTTTCGAAGTGAATGGTGTGAAAATAATTGTATGGAGGCTCCACAAGAGGCTTCACTGTACCGCCATCGTTTGCATGAGTGACTAAGATTTAGGGCCAGAGGCCTTTTTTTCATTCTGTGTGGGAAAGTAGATTCCCTCGTTCTTTTGTTGATTGTTGGTAGGTTCCCACATAAATTTCCCGCAAGATGCTCATAAATTTTGCCTATTCCTCGTTATGAGTGCCCTAGAAATACAAAGGATGGGGACAGATATGATAACAATATCCTGGCACCATCTTAATTTGCCTCACAGCTAAAATAAGATTAGACTATTAAAACACTCGACGGGGAACTTAATTCTGGTGGGTGGTACATGAGATGCTCTGCTAAAAGTATGTTACCAACTACATATTTAAGGCAAATAAAGTGGGTTGTAAATTCAAATAATTTATTTCCACGAACGGCAGAAGGTAAACCAGAGACCTTAGAGCTGCCATAAAAACAAGAAAGCTTTCGTGATGTTTCTACACAAATGTTGACCATAAAAAAGCTCAGGGGCTCAGGACTCTCTCTTGACTTCGGTGTTCATTCGGCGGTTAGTCCACCAAAACAACTTCAAGCAGCAACAAATATCCGATTTATAATGTATTTTCAGTAGTTTTTTAGTAGTAAATTCAAATAAATAGTTCCAAGAAATAAATTGAAAAGCATTGAAGACTATTTTGTTTTTACCTTTTTTTTTAGAAAATTATTTTTTAAGTTTAGGTAAATACGCCAAATTATCAAGTCATGTTATTTTTTGGGTGTGCACTTTACACTTATCTGAAAACTTTTATCTCGCAACAAGTTGTTAAAAAGTTTCTGCCACTTTTAGCAAAAAACAACTAAAATTGGAGTAATCTGTACACCAACTGCTAAACTGGTTAAGAACTTTTTGTATTTTGTCGATTTAGAAGAAAAGAGTTTGGGTAATGGAGCAAACTTTGAAAAACACATCAGTAGCTAATTTGGAAAACAACATTGGCCATTTTAAAATGAATTGCTTTTAAAATAAATAAACTAAATATGAACTGTGCTAACTACTTTAAGTTATTACTGGGCACTTAGATATCTGTGTCCATAAACCTTAGATATATCAAAATGAACAAAATTTGAAATTCAAAGTTTAATAAGAGATCAAATTTCAGTTCAGTTCAGTACATTTTTCTGTACACCGATACACAACTGTCACATTCCACAACAACTAACAGGAAAATATACAAATATAAAACACATATACTAACTAAAAAACCAAAACAAAAAAGTTACATTAATTTTAATAACATAAAAAAGAAACAGCAATACGAAGTCATGAAGAGGGTCCACGTGGACAACTACACACCGAAGTATTATAGTGGCAAGTGGTCTTGGAATGCGGAGAAGGACTGCCTAGAATTCGAGCCCCACAACGATCTCGAGGACGCCAGGGAGCGCTATATCACCACCAATGGCTACAAGTTCCTGCGCACCATCGACCAGGAGGAGGAGCTCATCTTCCGGCAGGCCTATGTCCGGGACTCGGGCACCTATGACTTCGACACGTTGGTGATCAACGATATCCGCGATCTGGTCCTCTTCCTGATGCCCAGCGAGTTCCTGACCTACCGGTTCGTGGAGTTCATTCACCGCCCGGCGGTTCATCGGCTCATCCATGCCCTGATCATCTACTTTGAGTACTTCCTGCGGATGGTGGAGTTCGTTTTAATACGACGCGATGAGCTGGCCGATCAGATCCAGAGCGATCAGACCATCGAGATGAAGAAGATCTTCTCCATTTATCTCAGCCAGTACCGCCTCCTGGTGGCCCGCAACTACAGTGTGATCCTGAAGGGTGAGGGCGACATGGCCAACTACTATCACCTTAAGGAGATTGTCAATATCTCGGACACGAGTCGCGACAGGATCTTCCACGAGCAGTTCTTGGCCGTGACAACCCAGATTGTTTGGATCTGCATGCATAGGCGGGCATATAATGTGATTGAAATGGAGATGAACCGGCTGTTTCGATCCGATCACTTCGTGATGACTCGTCCGGAGTATCTGAGCTTTACGCCAGCGGAGCGGAGTCTGTTGTACGGAAGGAACAACAAGATCGTCAACTATCGCACCCAGATATCGCCACTCATCCAGGAACTGGAACACGTGGCGGAGGAGGATATGCCCATCCTGTGGATCGGAGAGCGAAAGTACCGCGGCACCGATGTGCGCATCGCCGAGATGGAACTGGAGTACATTGTGCCCGGGCCACAGCTGCATTTGATCGATGTGGCGCATGGTATCTTGGGCCATCCCAAGGACCTGTACAACACCATCCTGGACCTGGACTGGCCCACTGTTCGCTACTCAAACTTCTCGCTGGGCTACGATCCGTATCACATCGTACGCCAGCCTCACCTGGATATTCCCAGGATCGACGCCTTGAAGGTGCGCAAGATGAGCGAGCACTATGAGCATTTCTACAAGGTATATCGCATCTACGAACCTCACAGCCTGCAGATACTGAACAAGTGGCTCAAGCGGGACAAGCTCGTCCAGTTCTACCGCTCCGGGGGACTGCTGCTCACCAACGTGGTCTCCCGGTGCGAGAAGGAACTGGCCGAAAAGGTCCCGCCCACCAGGGTCGACCAGGTCATCTCCAACTACTTTAAGGTCAAATCCAGGCTACGCAAGGGATCTCCCTACGAGACCGACAACATCAGCATTACGTCCTCGCGAATCGGGGGCTTTAACTCGCCGCGCCAGAAGAAAATCACTTCCCAAGAATACTATTTCGAATGATTCCTTCTGTCTTGAGGTAAATTTCGAGGGTACAACATTCTTCGGACTTCTAGAACATTTGAAATACCTCCAAATTACAATTTTGTGAATAAAATCATTACGGTTCTTTAAATTTTTGTGGTTCTCGACTCTGGTTATCATTGAAGAAATTAAAAACTTTGAATATTCAAGTTTTTAAAATAATTAAAAATATATCTTAAAATATTTTGGGTAAAATTCGGAATGGTTCGTGGACTTATTCTTCCCACTGTTTCTAATGCCTGATCAGCTGATCTGAAGATAAGGCGATCGCACAGAAATCTTCCCACCTCGACAATCCTATGCAGCAGTTCCTCGATAGACATTGTTCAGTATAGAGCCCCATCTTTCGCCCATAATCATGTCCGTTCCTCCATATCGGCACTTCACCCAAATTGGGGATCCTGTACTCCGCCAAAGGGCCGAGGAAGTTTCTCCAGAGGAAATCGACAGTTTGGAGATAGACCTAATTATTGACCGCATGGTAAAGGTGTTACGTCACTACGACTGCGTGGGCGTGGCAGCGCCCCAAATCGGAATTCCGAAGCGTATTATCGTTATGGAGTTCCGAGAGGGCAAGCAAGAGCAATTTAAGCCGGAAATCTACGAGGAGCGAAAAATGTCTACGCTGCCCCTGGCCGTAAGTAAATATTGCAACTTTAAATATATTTATTGATAAGATTTAAATGGTAATATAAATATATTTAATAATAATAATTATAATGTATAAGCGTTGTTTAAGAAATTGTGAAGATGTTAAGGTACATTATTTTAAAGTGCATTTTTTTAAATTACAAAGTGCAACAGCAATCCCGTGATTTCATATCATAAATCATATTCTTGCAGGTCTTCGTTAATCCGGAGCTGGAGATAATCAGCAGCCAACTTAACAAACACCCCGAGGGCTGTATGAGTGTGCGGGGCTATTCCGCTCAGGTAGAGCGGTACGACAAGGTCCGAGTCCGGGGGGTCGGCAAGCTGGGCACTCCGTCGGAAATGGACCTGGAGGGCTGGAGCGCACGGATCGCCCAGCACGAGGTGGATCACCTAAACGGAACCATCTACGTAGATCGCATGGATATCTCGACCTTCAACTGCAACAGTTGGGAGCAAATCAACGCAGCTGAAGGTCGTTCCGCCATTTGGTTCCATAAATAGTAATCCTAGTAGATAAAATATAACTACAATTACTTAATATAATTTTGAAACAACTTATTTGTTATAAAAATAGCATTTTAATGTTTTTATGTGGATTATATGGTGTTGATAAAAGCTATTCGGTGTACAAATATAAATATTATCCCCAGTAAAGTACAATTTCAAACAAAGTGTACAATTCCAATTCAATGTCTATTATTATTATTAATTTTTTAATTTGTAGCATCTTCAAATCAATCAATCAAATTTAAATTGCGCGCCAAATTCAAAAACTATTTCTATCGGTAATCGATAGACTATTTCACATCACTAGCCGGTCAGCTGGCAAAAAGAGGTTAAGCAACCGGGATAGGATTACATTATTCAAAATGCTAATGAAACAACGGATAAAACTATGCCAAACGGTTCTGGAACACCACCGCTACCTGGGAACAAGTCCTCCTGCCAGCCAGTCCTTCAGGAAGTGGTACCAACAACTATGGACCACAGAGCGCACCAACCTGCCTCCTTACAACCACTTCACCCAGATTGGAGACCCCGTCCTGAGGCAACAGGCTGCTCTGGTGCCCAAGGAACACATAGGCAGTCCCGAGATCGAGGCCATCGTGGAGCAGATGGTCAAGGTGCTGAGGAAGTTCGACTGCGTGGGCATTGCGGCGCCCCAGATAGGCGTTTCCCTCAGAATCATAGCCATGGAGTTCAAGGGAGGAATCCGAGAGGAGCTGCCCGAGGCGGTTTACCAATCCAGACAAATGTCGGAATTGCCACTGACTGTGAGATGGGCATCCTAACTACCAGTGTCTATAGCATCAACCCTTCTAACTAAATAACTTTTGACAGGTTTTCATTAATCCCGTGCTGACTGTGACCAATTACTCCAAGCTGAAACATCCTGAGGGCTGCATGAGTGTGCGAGGATACTCCGCCGAAGTGGAGCGCTTCGAAGGAGTGAAGTTGACAGGCCTAAATCAAGTGGGAACCCAAAACGAACTGGCCCTGAGTGGTTGGAATGCCCGGATAGCTCAACACGAAATGGATCACCTGGAGGGAAAGCTGTACACCGACCACATGGACCGCTCCACCTTTGCGTGCACCTGCTGGGAGGCGGTCAACACGAAATCCGGACGTGTGGAGATACCTTTCTACAAGTAGGTTAAGTCGCTGGGGGATCGTTTCGCTTTGTATGTATGTATATACTGATTGAATGTATGACTATCTATCGTTGGTCTTAGTCCATGGGTTTGATGGGTTCACATGCCCGCAGCTTGTGGTTGGCCGCTCCCAGGGCCGCCTTCGCTTTGAAGTACTCCGGACTGTCCCACAGCTCGCTCTTGTCCATCATGTAGGTGAAAAGCTCGTTGTACTCCCGCTTCAGCAGACGATGCGAAGTGGCCGTCTTCAATTGCTGCACCTCAAGTAGCTGGGAAAGAACCTGCTGTACCTCGTCCTCCTGATCCTCACCATTCTTCGGGCTGCTCTTGGAGAGATTTGCCTTTAAATGGCAGAATTCATCATACTGCTGCCGCAGATCCTTTCCCAGATAATTGAGCACTGCGGTGCGCAGGATGAACTGCCGTATAACCGGATGGGCATTGTTGCGCCGGAACATGCTGGAACACACGCCGGAAAACGTTGCCGGTATCCTCACTCAGTGTGTAATCTGAAAGAAAACCAAAGGCTCACCATGGAAATACTTTTTGGGAGAAAAACCAAGCTAAAATAATATGAGTCGCAGCAGCATCCGAAAGGAGATTCGTATGCGGCTTTCGAAAATGATTACTCATTCACCACAACTCAACCCATAGATGTCACATCCACACCGACTTCTCACAGCTCCTAAATAAATAAATAAATACCTGCATACATTAATACCACTATATTACCCAGACATAATGAAACGCATCCATGTGGATAATTACGCCCCAAAGTACTACAGTGGCAAGTGGTCATGGGATTCGGAAAAGGACTGCCTCCACTTCCAGGCACACAACGATCTGGAGAACGCTCGGGAGCGCTTTATAACCACCAATGGCTTCAAGTTCCTGCGCACCATCGACCAGGAGGAAGAGCTCATCTTCCGGCAGGACTATGTGCGACCGAAGAGCAACACCAGTGACACTGTGGTGATCACAGATATTAGAAATTTGGTGCTCTTCCTGATGCCTCGAGAATTTCTGTCCTACAGATTCGTACAGTTCATGCACGAGCGGGAGGTGCTCGCCCTTATCCACTCCTTGATAATTTACTTGAGTACTATTTACGCCTGGTGGAGTTTGTGCTTATTCGCCGTGATGAACTTTCCGGTCAGATGGCCCAAGTCCAGAGCGAGCAGACCAGTGACATGAAGCGAACCTTTTCCGTTTATTTAAGCCAGTATCGTATGCTCGTGGCCCGCAACTACTGTCTCATCATCGGTGGCGAGGGCAACATGGCCAAGTTCTACCACATGAAGCCTATTTCCAACATTTCAGCAACGATCCACGATAAGTACTTCCATGAGCAGTTTCTGGCTGTGGCCATTCAAATGGTCTGGATCTGCATGCATCGCAGGGCGTACTTTATCATCGAAATGGAGATGAATCGGCTCTTCCGCTCGGAGCACTTTGTTTCCGCCCGTCCTGAGTACCTCAACTTCACAGAAGCGGAGCGCAGTCTTCTCTATGGGAGAAACAAGAAGAACTGTAACTACCGAGTTCAGGAATCGCCACTGATCCAGGAGCTTAAACTGGTGCCAGTGGAGGATCTGCCCATCCTGTGGATTGGGGAGCGCAAGTACAGAGGCACCGATTTTCGCATTGCCCAGCTTGAGCTGGAGTACATTGTGCCTGGATCACAGCTCCCCCTGATTGACGTATCCCATGGCATCCTCGGCCATCCCAAGGCGCTCTACAACACGCTCCTGAGCCTCGATTGGCCGGCTGTACGGTTCTCAAACTTCTCTGAACAATACGATCCGTACCAGATTATCAGGCGACCTTACCTGAAAATTCCCAAGTTAGATGAACTTCAGATGCGAAAGATGAGCGAGAGCTATGAGCACTTCTACGAGCTTAAAAGAGTTTTTACGCCCTACACCCACAACGAAATCACCAAGTGGGTCAAACGAGACCTTACCATCAAGTTCTATCGGTCAGGAGGTCTGCTAACGAATGTGGTCTCGCGTTGTGAAAAGGAGTTGGCGAGCACATCTACGGGACCAAGGGTCGAAATGATCATCTCCAACTACTTCAAGGTTATATCCAAAATACGCAAGGGTGATAAAGACATGGACAAAGAAAATAGCTTTTTAAACGCACGTTCTGGCAGTATGGCATCGCGCTTTAGTGTAGGTAAAATGACAAAAAAAAGTTCAGTGTCGGGGTGTCACAGAAGTCTCCTTTAAACAAATACGGTTAAAAATAGTATTGATATACGTATAAATTGGTTTAAAAGAGACTTCGATGACACCCCAATTTCGATGTTTTAAAACTGAAATTTTTTATCCAATTGTACCATTTCCATGCATATGTGCGAATATATTTAAACTAAACAATTATGTGTTAAGCCGGAAGGGACTGGGAAGCTATATTTTAATCTTATGATGGTAAAAATGAATGCTTTAAAAAAGAATATATGGGTTATATAGAGTAGCATAGGAAATGAACTTCACTTTCAGGGAAACTAAAAATGGTCAATTCTCCCCAATACTTCGTGGCGTACACTACAATACAAGAACCCCAAAAAATATAAAAACCAAAACAAGACACAAACCCTAAAAAAAAAGGACAAAACAAGACACAAACCCAATACTTAACCACCCGAATACAATGAAGCGCATCCATGTGGATAACTACGCCCCGAAGTACTACAGTGGCAAGTGGTCATGGGATTCGGAGAAGGACTGCCTCCACTTCCAGGCGCACAACGATCTGGAGAACGCTCGGGAGCGCTTTATAATGACCAATGGGTACAAGTTCCTGCGCACCATCGACCAGGAGGAAGAGCTCATCTTTCGGCAGGAGTATGTGCGACCGAAGAGCAACAACAGTGACACCGTGGTGATGCGAGACATTAGAGACTTAGTACTCTACCTTATGCCTCGAGAGTTTCTGTCGTACAAGTTCGTGGAATTCATGCACGAGCCCCCGGTGCACTCCGTCCTCCACGCCCTGGTACTATACTTCGAGTACTACTTACGCCTGGTGGAGTTCGTGCTTATTCGTCGGGATGAACTTTCCGGTCAGATGGCCCAAGTCCAGAGCGAACAGACCATTGAGATGAAACAGACCTTTTCCGTGTACCTCAGCCAGTACCGCATGTTGGTGGCCAGAAACTACTGTGAGATCATCAAGGGCCAGGGACTTATGGCCAAGTACTACCACATGAAGGAGATCTCCAATATTTCAGCCACCATCCGCGACAAGTTCTTTCATGAGCAGTTTGTGGCCGTGGCCATCCAAATAATATGGATATGCATGCACCGCAGGGCGTACTTTGTCATCGAAATGGAGATGAATCGTCTGTTCCGCTCGGAGCACTTCGTTACCGCCCGTCCTGAGTACCTCAAATTCACGGAAGCGGAGCGCAGTCTTCTCTACGGCCGCAATAAAAAGAACCTTAACTATCGCGTTCAGATCTCTCCGCTTGTCCAGGAGTTGGAGAAGGTTGCTCCCGAGGACATGCCCATCCTGTGGATAGGTAGACGAAAGTACAGAGGCACCGATTTTCGCATTGCTCAGCTTGAGCTGGAGTACATTGTGCCCGGATCACAGCTCCACTTGATTGATGTATCCCATGGCATCCTCGGACATCCGAAAAAGCTCTATAATACTATTCTAAGTCTAGACTGGCCGGCTGTAAGGTATTCCAACTTTTCTGAAAAGTTCGATCCGTACCACATAATCAGGCGACCTCACCTGGTAATTCCCAAGTTAGGGGAACTTAAGATGCGGAAAATGAGCGAGAACTATGAGCACTTCTACAAGTTGAGCATGGTTTTTGAGCCATGCACCCATAATCAAATTTGCAAGTGGGTCAAGAGAGACATCAATATTGCGTTCTTTCGCTCAGAAGGTTTGCTCACGAATGTGGTATCTCGTTGTGAAAAGGAGTTGACCAGCACTTCTGAAGGTCCGAGGATCGACAAGATCATTGCCCATTACTTCAAGATAATGTCCAGGATACGAAAGGGAGATTTCGATGATACGCCTCGCATCAGTGATGTTAGCACTGACAAATGGCTGCCAAGAAAAGGATCTATATCTTCGGAGAAATTGTCTCATAAGCCGGGTAAAAAGTAGTAATCGAAGACTACTTCCTCGTGCTTGTGATGATAGACTTTGCGCGGACCAAAAAGCTAAATAGAGGGAAACTCCTCCATTTTTAAGCGGTAAAAAAGTTACGCGTGCAATTTATACATTTTCACACTGTAGATACAAGTATACAATAGTACATCAATTAAATCATTTAAAACATAAAATATTTGTATTTCATTAAAAACTTGGGTTCCGTAGAATTTCACGATTTGCGGGTGTGATTGAGAAGCAATCGGAAGCCCTTTAAATATTTCAACTTAAATTGTAAATATATAACGCTCATTTCACCAAAAAATATAGAATCTTACCGTACAAATTAAAAAATCCTGTAGCTAAATATGAAATATGCATAAATCGTCAAAAATATATTTTAGTATACCAACTTTTAACCCTTATCTCTATATCAATTTATATACAATTTAAATCGCATAATTTCTTAGTATTTTGGAATTTTGATATGCAAGTTTTGGAATTAGCGGGAATCTTCTCCTGATAACCTTTGGCCAGAGCGCAGTTTAAAAAAGACCCTCGATTTGTCCGGTTTCCGTGTTCAGATCGATGTCATATATGGCCGGACGGGTGGGAAGACCTGGCATTTTGGTGACCTCGCCGCACATGGCGACCACAAAGCCGGCTCCAGCAGAAACGTACACATCCTCTACGTCCAGAGTGAAACCTTTGGGGGCGCCCTTGACCTTGGCATCACCCGTAAAAGATCCGGAGACCTTCGACATGCAGATGGGAAGGTTGCCAAAGCCCTAGAACCAGAAAAAGATTACATTTTAATAAATAAATTCTACTTATATAATGTGAGATAGACTTACCGCCTCCGTGAGCCGCTTGACTTTCTCCTCGGCCGCCGGCGAGAGCACCACCTTTCCAGCACCGTACATCGTCGTGGCGATCTTGTTCATCTTGTCCACCAGCGGCAGTTCCAGATCGTAAAGCAGCCGGAACTGGTTGCCCTGCTCGCAGGCCTTGATCACGGCATCGGCCAGCTCCACGGCTCCGGCTCCTCCGTCCGCCCAGTGGGTGGAGACGACGGCGGCGAAGGCACCAGCCTCCAGAGCAGCCTTCTTGACCAACTCGTGCTCCGCCGGAGTGTCTGCCGAATGAGCATTCAGGCTCACCACCACGGGCATGCCGAAGGCCTTACCGTTGGCGATGTGCTGCAGCAGATTGGGCAGTCCCTTCTGAACGAGCTCCAGGTTCTCCTCGGTGTACTGCTTATTTAAGGGGCTCCGGGGGTGACGGGTGCTCCGCCTCCGTGCATCTTGATGGCCCTAACGGTGGCCACCAGTACCATGGCGTTCGGCTTGCGTCCGGATGTGCGGCACTTTATGTTGCAGAACTTCTCCATGCCAATATCTGAACCAAATCCTGCCTCTGTGCAGACGAATCCATCCTTGCCCACCAGCTTGAGGCCAATTTCATCGGCGATGATGGAGTTGCAACCATGGGCAATGTTGGCAAAAGGACCAGCGTGCACCAACACTGGATTTCCCTCCAGGGACTGCATCAGGTTGGGTTCCAGGGCATCCTTGAGCAGAACGGCTAAGGCACCAGTTACACCCAAATCGTCAGCGGTTACGGGATTGCCCCGTTTGTCAAATGCCACCACCATATCAGCCAGTCGCTGCTTCATGTCCTCCAGGCAACGGGACAGCGCCAGCACAGCCATGATTTCACTGGCCACCGAGATGGAGAACCGGGTTTCCCTAGAGATTCCCTTCTCGGTGGGCGATTGTCCAATGGTAATGGTTCGCAGATAACGATCGTTGATGTCCACAACACGTTCCCACATGATGGTCTCGGGATCGATGTCCAGCCGAGCGAATGATCCGTACTCCTCTTCAGTAAGAGTATCAGGATCGGTCTTGGTAATTCCCAGTTTTTTGAGGCGGCGCAGCTGAATGGGGCTGAAAGTTCGCTGATCCTTAACCTTGGGCACCAATCTATCGTACAGGGCCTTATCCTTTTGGGTGTTCTCGTGGAAGATGCGGGTGTCCAGTTGGGCGGCCAGCAAGTTATTGGCTGCAGACACAGCATGGATGTCGCCTGTCAGATGGAGATTGAACTCCTCCATGGGAATCACCTGTGAGTAGCCGCCGCCAGCAGCTCCTCCCTTGATGCCAAAAGTTGGACCCTGGGAGGGCTGCCTGAGAGCAGCAATGGTGTTCCTCAGCTTGTGAGATCCCAGAGCCTGGACCAAGCCCATCAGAGTGGTTGTCTTACCCTCCCCCAAGGGAGTGGGTGTCATGCCGGCCACCACAACATAGTGACCCGCCTCCTTATCGGCCAGACGTTCCAACACCGACAGAGAGATCTTGGCCTTCTTATTGCCGTACAAAGAAACCTCTCGCCCCTGCAGACCGATCTCCTTGGCCAGCACGGCAATATCCTTCGGCCTTTGTGCACGGGCAATCACAATGTCGCTGGGCACGGGACGCAGCGGTTTCAGGGGCAGTGGTTGCAGGGCCCACTCACTTCTGATCAGACGCTCCAGGGATCGTGCCGCCGATCGCACGGTGTTCTTCATCAGCATGGCCACCGTCATGGGTCCAACGCCGCCGGGCACGGGCGTCAGATGTCCTGCCACCTGGAGAGCCTCCTCGTAGTCCACGTCCCCCACCAGCCGAGTGCCACTGGCCTTGCTGGCGTCTGAAAAGGATCGAGGAGGAGGTTAGACAGTGTCAGTTCTAAGATCGGTTCACCCCGATCGGGAGCTGTTCCCTAACTAATTCTCGAGAGCATGATTTTTTGAAAACAAAATCATTTCTTATCTCCGGGGGCTGGGAGACCCACCAGGGGGTCACAGCGTTGATAAGGGATTGAAGAAAAATCAGTAAACAAGTGGAAACTTTTGAAATGATTTTCAAAGATAAGGGGAAAATATGAAGACAAGTCAATTAAAAAAAATCTAAAAATCTCCTATAGCATATCTTTAAAAAAGTCTTTGGAAACGGATAGAAACAGCTATCATCACTTACCAGGCTTCACATTGATGCCACAATCAATGACCACTGCTCCTGGCTTTATCCACGATCCCTTGACCATCTCAGCCACGCCGATTCCAACCACCAGAATGTCGGCAGTTCGGGTGATCTCCTCCAGGTTGCGGGTCTTCGAGTGGCAAACTGTGACGGTGGCATTGGCCCACTTAAGCAGCTCGGCGGCGGGTGTGCCCACGATCTTGCTGCGACCAAGGACCACAGCCCTAGCTCCGGCGATCTCCACTCCAGAGCGCCGGATGAGCTCCAGGCAGCCCCACGGTGTGCAGGGCAGGAAGCCTCCAAGATCACCAATGGCCAGACGACCCTCGTTCACCGTGTGCAGACCGTCAACATCCTTTTCCGGAGAAACGGCGTCCGTAATACGATGCGAGTCGATGGAAGTATCGCAGTCCAGGGGCATTTGCACTATGATACCATGTACCTTCGGATCCTCGTTCAGATCGTTAATCTGCAAGGGAATTTGAATTTATAAATGTGTCCTTTATTATATCGTTTTGAGACTTGGTACTTCTCAAAAAGTTTCCAAATTATGTGAGGAAAAGGAAACTATATATTTATATATCGTACTAAACAATTTATAAAATGTTTATTCGACTTAAATCAAGTATCGAAGATGAAGTTTTCCAGTTGATTATACATTGTATGCACCATTACATAACCCTCTTCAGTGGGGTACTCACCTTATCGAGCAGTTCCACCTCGGTGATGGATCGGGGCAGCTGGACGTGGGCGGCTTCGATGCCGATCTCGGTAGCCGCCTTGATCTTCATGCGGATGTAGACGTTGGAGTCCTCACGTCCGCCCACCTGAACGATCCTCAAGCCGGGCACAAAGTTTGGCAATTGTTTCCTAAAACCCCCCACATCGTTGCGCAGCTCCTCGCGAATAGATCTGGGGATAGAGTGGTGTAAGGCAGCGATCTATAAACCAAAAGTTAAACCCACTCACTTGGCCACCGCTGTGCCCGATATTATCTTGGCCCCGCTCATCTTGATCGCCGGCTCTGCTTTCCACTCTCCGCTGAAAAAACGTAAACCCGTAAAGTACTTTAGTCCGGAAGACCGAAAATTTCGCCTCACTAGCCACGCCAACTCGGCTCGCGCAATCCAACTGAGCGGAGTGCTCCGCGGACACCCCTATCTATAGACTATATAGGTGCTTTGCCCCGCTCCTCTCTATTATTTTAATCCCGCTCCCTTATCAGGCGCCTTTTAGATTATCGGTTTCGGGTTTCTCGCGGGTCACATCTTGCGATTGGCAACCGTGAACAGCACCGGTTGACGTATGGTTCAACATGATCCATCTCTCGGAGAAAAACAACCGCAGAAATGGTATTGGTAAACATATACCATGGCTACGATCGTGAAAAATTGCTGGCAAAGGTAATTTCCATATCAAATCTGTATTCCACTGATATGAAGCACTTGAAGTGGCGCTCAAAAGTTCAACAAGCTCATAAAACATATGGACTATGGAGTCAATCCAAGAATTGGAAATCAATAAGTTTTAAAAATACACTTGGTACCTTAAAAAATTTTTCCTGACAGCAGATTATAATAAAGAACCTTTACCACATCAACTCCACTGTACCAACACACCTCTCCACCTGGAAATTAACAACAATTTCCTAATCTAACTAAACAAAAACCATTCTGCACGAGAACCACAAATAACGCTGGTAAATAGATAAACCAGTCCTTATCAGGTGCCAATTGGTTGGACAGATAAGCGAAGCAGTCCAAACTTCCAGAGCATAATTTGAGATAGAGAGAAACATAGACTTTGAGAGGGAGAATTTTTGGACTAGACCGACCGAATTTATTAACATGCGTTTAGTTTGTTTTAACGGCTGCTCTCAGCTTGGCGGATCGACTGCGGGTATTTTTAGCCACTTCCTCGGCATCTGGTACAATGACATGGCGGTGGAGCTGCTTCCAGTTCTTCTTGGTCAGCGATTCTAACATTTCCGGATCGTCTATGGCATAGTAACTGGAGTACTTCAGGGGCAAGGCATTGGCGGCTCCCGCCAAAACGTTTCCATTGATGTGGCGCTTCACGATGGTGTCCTCCAGCGAGTGGAAGGTGATGGTCACTAGGCGACCATCCTGACGGAGGATTTCATTGGCCAAAACCATGCCGTAGTTGATCTCGTTCAGCTCGTTGTTCACAAATATGCGAATCGCTTGGAAGGTCTTGGTGGCCGAGTGGGCGGGTCTTCGAAGCTTGTCTTTCCTGGATCCCCCGTCCATGATGTTTTCCACTATATCCGCCAGCTGCCTGGTGGTCTCAATTTTGAAGAGTGCATTGCGTGCGTCTATCAGTCCTCTGGCTATCTTCTTTGCTGCTTTCTCCTCGCCATATGTCCGCAGAATTTTCACCAGATCGCCCTCCTCCACGTTGGCCAACACCTCGGCAGCTGTAACGCCTCCGCTATGGCCACCATCCATTCGCATGTCCAGCGGTCCGTCCCTGGAGATGGAAAAGCCCCGCAGCGCTTCATCGAACTGCATGGAACTGCAGCCGAAATCGAAGAGCATTCCGTCCACCGAGTTCTTGGCCAGGCCATGTTCTTTAAAAAGTCTTGGCAAATCAGAAAACTTTCCCAGGAGGGGAATCAGCCTGCCCTTGTACTCCTCCGACTCGCTCATCTCGCGAGCCAGCTGGTGGGCCACTGGATCCCGATCCAAAGCGTAGACCTTTGCCTCGGGACACTTCTCGAGAAGACGCCGCGTGTGGCCACCAGCTCCGAAGGTCATGTCGAAATAGATGCCTCCGGAAACGGGTTGCAGATAATCAATGGCTGTGTCGCAGAGCACGGGAACATGGGGAGGAGCTGCAGCCGCCTTCGCTTCAACAGAATTAAGCCTCAATAAGTCCAGTCTTAGTCTAGTGGGTATTAGGAGTCGCTTCATAATGGTGCTACTTCTTTTTGGAGCCCGCTCCCTCGTTGAGATATTGCAGGAACTCGGAGCTCAAGACTTGGCTGCACTGGGCGGCTGTTAGTCCGGTAGCCGTGGATTCGTAGGTGCGCGGATACTTCTTGGCGTAGACGTTATTGCAAAGCCTCTCCAGAGCTTCGATCTGGCGGTCCAGCCCCTTGTCCGTAGCTCCGCCCTCCAGACTGGTGAGCTTGGTCACCTGCTTGCGAATCTGCTCGCCGAGATCCCTTTTTTTGGGTTAGAGGAGAGATGGTTTTTATTGCATTGGCTGTGTGAAGTGGATGTGTGTGTTCTGTGACGAATGTTCGTTCCATGCGGCGCAGCTGGTCAGGAGGTTCGTTCACTTTTCTCGGAAGTGCGGGTTTTGCTTGGAAAACCACTGGGGTGGTGGGGTAATTGGAAACCATAAATAGAGTTAACTGACAAGCTAGCTTATGTGGCCATAACTCTACCTTGGTGAAAACTTATGCCAATTTCGTAACATGAATAATGCTCTATAAAGCCACAAAAACTTATAAGCTGTCTAGAAAAATGATATTTCCTAGTGCAAATCACAAGATGTGATATTTTACGACCGTTTTCTCTACTTTTATGTGACGAAATAATAAAGTGTAGAGCTAAGCAATTCAAAAGTTTTAAAAACAAATAAAATAATGAATTCAAGATAATCTTTATGAGGCGTTTAAACTTAAAAGTTGCATGTGGTCTTGTATAATTATCCGCAGATCATTATCAGCACGATTTTACTCTAGAAATCCAGCTTTTTATTGAAAAGTTTAATATTCTCTTCTATGAATATTTTTAGTACAGAACCAAAGGAGTAACAAACTTACTTAGGGCCATGGCCGAAAAGAAATTCCTCCGGCTCCAACTGATATGTGAATTTTGAAGCCATTTTGTTCACGAAAACAATAAAGTTAAGAAGATTTCTGAATGATCGGAGAACTGGTAAGACAATGCAAGCCCTGTCTTAGCCAAGTAAACCAGGTAACTGAAGTCCAAGATCCAGAATTGACCAGGCCAGAACTGGCGAAATAAAGCCCACATAATCCACAAATCTTTGAGTCAGCTGGTGTGGAACCTAAGTTTCTTGGCGCGCAGGCAGATGAGAAAACTTTGTAAACGAATTCCTCCCACATTTTCATATTGCCAAGCCTATAAACTTATAAAACTGATAAACCACATAGCGAGCAAACATTGGCACGACTCTAGATTGCATTTAAATACAAATAATATGAAATCGTAACAATATTTACTTGTTAGATAATCCAAAGTGTTGCGCCGCCAGAACGAACATTCATGATTTTAGAGCATTTCGGTGTAAATTTATAGCTCACCTGCCGATTTTTGATTTCTCCGCTGGCCACTTTTCAAGTACTTTCAGGAATCTCTGGTACTGTGCCGACATAATTGTTTAAACTTAAAAATTAAAATTAAACAAATGGCAGCAGCGCTACCAAAACACACCTTCTTGCTAGAGGTGGAATGAAATTCGATATTTAATCGATACTATCAATTGGGGTATTTCTTAATCGCACGAATTGTTGAATATTTATTATTGTATGCAATTTCTATTGGCACAATTTTCACATTCTGCCAAATACAAATAATTTTACACTGGGAATTCGAAAAATGTTGTGATTAAAGTTAAAATAAATATAAATATGTATTAAGGTTATTCTCCCCAAAAAGAAATACGGAAAAATACCGAATGTTATCGACATATCGATTACATTTGGCGCGCTTTTTAAAAAATGTATTTTATTAATCATTTTGACCGCTTATTAAGAAAGATAACAACTATTACAGTTTAACCTATTTTATTTAACTCCGACAAACAAAAAGAACTCAGATTAATTCTTGGTTTTATTTCACAACGACTAAAATGCGGCTTAGACACAATCGGTTAGCTTAGCTAATAAAATTCATGCGTTCGTTTAAAATTAAGAGCATCATAATTGTTAAAAGAAAACTACGGGCTAATACAGGTTTACGAGTAAATGTAACGTGGTTATGAGAGTACACCCCAAAACGGTTAAATGCTAGTTCTTGCTTATAATTTCGCTACTGCTGATCGATCCTACGCTCTTCGGCCCTCGGGCTTCAGGAGCTGCAACTTGGTGGAAATGGGTCTCAGCGATGATGAGGACAATGGCGATGAGGACGATGACGATGACGATGTCGACAGGGATGTGGATGTTCCCGGCGATGAGGAGTACGGATAGATGGTGCTGCCACTGCTGGTGCTACTGGAAAATCCGGGTGTGGTACTGGTTCGACTGAATGGAGCTGGATGGGAATACTCCGAAACGGGCTGCGGTTCTGTACCCCGGAATTCCTGCGGCAGCTCTCCTCTAAAGATCCCAAATTGCGGTGTTGTTCGGACAAGCTGCTCCAATGGAGTTAGCCCATACTGGGCATGTCGCTGGTGGACCCCACCAATGTCCGCTGCGTCTAATTTGGGTGGTAGAACCAGACTACTGTCCACCACAGACTTGCCATCGAAGGTGTAGAGGGCTCCACTTGGCAGACTGGAATGGGGAACCTTCCGGTTGTCCGGTGGCAGGTAGTAGGTGTCAATTCGCTCCGCAGCAGCTGCCACTCGGTCATCCATTTCGAGTTCCAGCTCATCCGCATATATGTCTTCTTCGTCGGGACCAAAGAGGTCCTCCAGCAGTTCGGGTTCTGGTTTCTTGGTAGTAGAGCTTGGAATCTCTTTTGTAGTGGTTGTGACAGCCTTCTTGGTTGTCTCTTCTAATAGCTCCTCATCATCCCCAATCGGCATAGGTTCTAGTTCCAGCTCCTCTTCATCTATCTCCTCTCCAAAGAGTTCATCCAAGGTGGGCTTTCTCAACTCCGAAGCGGAGGGCAGGGCGTGCTCCAGAGCTGCTGAAGGTAATCTCAAAGCAGAAGCCGTGGGACTAACCTCCTTCACGTTGACCCTTAATATCTTAGAGGCATTGGTACTGTCCAAGGGAGATGGTATAAACATGGGTTCAAAGCTTTGAGTCTCACTGCCACCCTGTTGGGCGGTCAAAAATAGCGTATCCGTTTCCATCACCTCATCGATTTCGGTGCCAGGATCCTCGCGACGATTGGCTACCTGTTCAATGATCTCCTTGGGCAATTGCACACCACTGCCATCGGTTCTCATGATGGGTCGGAATCCGCTCTCCACGATCACAGTGTCGGGCTTGAAACCCTGATTTACCGCAGGACGCATGCTGGCGATTTCCTCTTGAGAGGGTTCCTTTACCGGAGGACGTTTCACCAGCGGCATTGTGGTCGTGGTTGAGCTCGTTATAGAACTGGAACTGGGCGTTATGGGTTTTGGATCCCCCTTTCCACCTGGATGATTGAAGAATGCCGTGTTTTGCAGAGAACTCTGTGGTTCTAGGTCGACATAGGGTACTGGAATTTTAGGTTTACCCTTGACCTTGAGTCGATCCCCCTTGGAGCTTAGTCCGCCCAATCCTCCGCCCAGTTCCGTAGGTTGTCCCAGGAGGAGAACAGAAGCAGCCAGCGGTTGCAGTGGAAAGGGTTTCTCCTTGACGAAAGGCTTGAGCAAACCAGGCACCGGCTTCCTGTAGTGACTTACAATCAAGGAAGGTTGCTGTTGCAGGAGGACAGGATGCTGCGGATGCGGATGCAGGTGCGGATGTTGCTGCGGAAGCACTGGCCTCGATGCCGGAACCTTCTTGATGGGTGCGGGGAAGGGTCTACGGCCGGGCAGCTTCACTGGATGGAAGAGCGGTGCATTCTGCGGCGGACGAAGGAACTCAGAGAGTCCAATGGTTTTCTGGGCCAGTGCTGGAAGATTAGCGGTTAGATTGTGGTGATGCAAATGGAGATGCGGATGCGAATGGGGGGCATGCTGCGGATGGTGGTGCAGGCGATGCAGGGGGTGCGGGGGATGGTGGATGAGATGGGGACCACTCGCGAAGATGGGTAGCTTCAGTGTGGCAGGGGATGGCGATGCAGATGGGGATGGGAATGCGGATGCTGATGCGGATGCGGGTGGAGATGCATTCGGCTTGTGGGCATGGGTCTCGCCCAGCAGAATCTCAGGGCGCGAGCTGATCTCGGTCGGGGTCACGTTCGGTTTCTGGTGCGGATTCGGAATCGGGTACTGGTTGGGATGGTTGTTGGGATGGTTCAGGTTCGGGTTCCTCAGTAGGCTCTCCTCGAGAGCCTCAGCAGCGCGGATGCCATCTGAAATCAGTTTGGTTATTTCCGAAGATTTCGTTATTTCAAAACTCAGTTTGGGCGGTGTTCCGTTCATATTGTGGTTCTTAATCAAATCGGTTTGGTGCTTCAATAAAAAATTATCGTTGGCGCTGACCTTGGTTTCGTGCCGGACGGACGCCTCGCCGGCGTAGTCCTCGTGCACGGGAGCCGGTTCCGCGGCGGTGGATTCCGCCGGCAGCCGGATTTCGTGGCGTTCCGAAGCAGATCCCTTGAGTCCACCGGCTTCCGAGTCGCAGGCATCGTGGACATGGATCTTCCATCCCAGATAGCGGTGAGTGAAGCAGTGGTAGTACACCGTGTCTGGTGTATTTCTATCTGGTTTCCAGCTGATGACGCCCGGTTCTCCAGCGTCGCACTTAAGGGTCAAGGTGCGCTGATAGGCTCCGAAGGATTGGTAGTCGTCCGCCGGAGGACCCTCTACGTCTGGCGTCCAGTTGCAGAGACGGCCCACGCCGGTGGGCGTAACTTGGCCGGAACGAGAGCGATGCACTCCGGCGTAGATGCGAACGGCCTAGAAAGGGAAGTGTTATATATTTGAAAAACTAAAGATCATCATCAGGATTAGATATCTCACCTTCTTCTCCTCCTCGCGCTTGTGCTCGTATCCTCCCACAGGATCGTCACTGATGTAGAACGGATGGTACTTGGCCGGAATGTCCGGGTTGTTGCCGCCCTCCACCACAAAGGTGTAGGTTCTGCCGCGCACTACATGGATCTCGGGGATCAGAAGTCCGTTGATGTACCACGAGATTCCCCAGCCGACGTGGCCTAAGATATACAAAAATATAATAAATATTAAGAAAATAGTGATACGAGTATAATGCAAATAGTTTACTCCGCTTTTAAAAGACCCACCTGTGATTGCTGGATAGCCGTGTTTTCCTCCTGTGGGACCCATCTGGGCGTAGAACACTCCGTCCTCCGGCTCGTGGCACTGGATGGCTGGTATGTCCCAGGCTCCATTGCTGTTCACCGGTTTTGGAGTGGGCACTGGACGCCTCTGGGTGAGAATGGCTGTTTCCTGGCGCCTCTGGGGCGGCTGACGATGCAGTGCCTCCGCCCGATTCTCATAGAACTCCTCGTCGGGCTCAACATTAGGTCTTCCCGCTGGCGGGTATCCAGCTCCGCCAGTTGAACTTTGGGCAGCCGGAGCGGAATCCTCCTGTTCCGAGGAGTTACTGCCAGGACGAGCGCCCTCGGGCAGAGGACAATTCCACTTGGGCTGGCGACCGAACTCGATCTGATGGAGATGCTTGTTGTAGAACGTGTGGAAGGAGACCTCGCGGTAATCGTTCAATGGTCCAATTGCCCAGACAACCGATTCCGCCTCCGTAATCGAAATGGGCAAATCCAAACGATCCGTGGCAGCCAGAGATCTCTGGTAGGTCACAATCGAGTAGCCATTCACCATGGCAGCATTGAGCAGGCGGATGGAGTTGGTCTTTTCAGAGATCTTGGTGTCCGGGCAGGCGCCACGCCCACCTGAGCACTGCGCCTTGCCCTCTAGGAAGTAGTCCGTGGCGAATCCGTTTCCGGTCTGGGGATCCACCCAGGCCACCACTGCATCGGCGCCAATCATCTGGGAGATGTTCTTGCTCGGCGAGATTCCAAAGGACATGTAGTGGTTCGGTTCTGTGGATGGATATAAAAATGGTAAGAGGTTTTCTAAGATCTTGAAAGAAAACTTAAGGATAAGTA